TTTGACTATGTTTTCTTTTCTACATACTTCTTCAGTGCACTTTTGAATATTCTCCCTACATTCAGAATGTCATGCAGTGAAAAGCGTCTACTTCGTGTTTACTGTTGTTAGTAGACCTTATGCCATAATAGTTCCTGTCATTGACATTCAGAATTTCCTAGTTGATCTCTGTCACATTCATCTTTTTCACTCTTTGCTCTTATAGGTAGCTTTTTACAATTTTTTTTCTTGCTTCTTACTCCCATTCTCAATCCTTCTTCAGCCCTGTGACCTCGAGCCTATAAAGTGTTTGCAGTGATTGTGCTAGTCTTACCAATTCTGCTTTCTTATTACTATCAAACTAATCCTATAGGTTCAACAAATGCAAACTGAATACCTGTATGTTTTATACAGGTCAGGGGACGGCAGCACTTAGTAGTTTGTATAGAAGAGAGTTTGGTCAGTAATGGAATATCAATGTGACTGTATGAGTAGAAATTCTTTTTTTCAGTACTGGGGATTGAACTCAGGACCTTGTGCTTATGCTTCTGAGTTATCTCCCCTACCCTGCATAAGTAGAATTCGAAGCGAAAAGCAAAACTTTCTCAGTAAAAGATGCAGATTCCAAGCATTATCTCCAGTAAACAGGATGGAGATATTCATTATGCCATGTTCATTTGCCCTAATGCTATGAAACAGAGTCTGGAGAGAGAAGTATTAAATGTTTTGAGTATTGTAATAGGGGTACAATACTCTGTGGGCCTGAGAGAACTCTTCTACTCTAGGGGCTCAGGAAGGGCCTCTTGAGAGGAAATAAAAGAGTCAGTATTGGCTAGAAGGTAGTGTTCTAAGGAAACAAGTGTGATAAAGCCTGGTCTCAGTAGAATGACATTATGTAATAGGCATTGAGGGGTAAACAAAGCCTGGATTCTCTCTTCAAGAGCTGATTTTCTGGGAGCTTCTGTAAGGCTGTGTTACAGAAGTTAAGATTTTAAAAAATGAGCTTCAGATTCCAGGAGAAGCTGGTTATCTCATCTGACTCAGAACTAAGGGAGGAATACACAAAGTTCAAGGTGAATTTATTAAGGCACTGAGATTGGTGAACTATTTTCGGAGAGCGGACATATATACTGCTCTCACAGAAGAGAAGAGAATGCCAAACCAGACATGGTGTTGTACACCTATAATCACAGAACTTGGGAGGCCAAGGCAGGAAGATTTTTCAGCTTTAAGGAGGATTGTGAGCTTGAGCTACATAATAAAACTCTGTCTCAAAACAACAAAAACAAAACAAAACAGTATGCCAAGGTATTATCTTTATAATTGAATTACCAGTTTCACATGGCTAATTAATATTTTGCCTTTAAATAGACATATGGGAAACCAAGTCTAGAGAAAATCTGGAGACTAGAATATGAACATGATGTCTACATATGCATAAGGGTTTTTTGTTGTTGTTGTTGTTGTTTGATGGGGCTGAAGATTGAGCCCAGTACCTCAGGCCTGCTAGACAAGTACTTTACCACTGAAGCCCCCAACTCTTATATAGAGTTTGTTTGTTTGTTTGTTTGTTTGTTTTTTGCAGGACCAGGGATTGAACTCAGGCCCTTGCACTTGCCAGGGAAGGACTTATTCTACTGAGCCATCTCCCCAGCCCCTTCTATGTAGAGTTTTGGTAATGGTATATTCTCCATTGTTAAATGGGTTATGCCAGTGTTTACCTTAATTATTACTAGAGCTTAATAAGTTTATACTCAAGAGGTTAGTCTTCATCCAAGAGTCAATGGAATATAAGTATATCTGTTTTTGAAAGAATATATAGTAGAGTGAATTACGTTAGTAGGAATAGAAGCTAGAACACAAGGTAAACATTTATGAATCAGTTTTAATAATGATAGATACGTAGGGATAAAGAGGAAAGAGCAGAATTTGGTTAAGGATTGATTTCATCTGCGTTCTCAGAATTCTACCATGTGGCTCATCTGGTTTTTCTGTATCAACTTTTGTTTGCTTGTTTGTTTTTTGATATGTGTATGATTGAGGATTAAACGCATGACCTTTACACTAACTTATGTCCCCAGTCTTTTCTGATTTTGAGATAGGGTCTTACTAAATTTCTAAATCTTATTAAATTGCCCAGGACAAACTCAAACTTCTAATCCTCCTGCTGTTCTCCATAGTGTTGGGGTGTATACCACCATCAGTGACTTCCGTTATTTTCTGTGTCAAAAGTGTTCCTTAAAAAAAAAAAAAAAGTGTTCCTTAAAAGAGAATTTAGAGTCTAGGCATGGTGGTGTGCTCCTGTAATCCCAGTGTTGGGGAGGCTGAAAACAGGAGGATCACTACAAGTTTGAGGTGCATAGTGAGACCCTTAACAAACAAAAAAGAGAGTTTTGATTTGTCTGCAGTGTAAAGGATAAAGAATTGTGCCTTTGACAGTGATTTAACATTGTCTATTTCAATTTGCAGCTTTTATTCCATGGCATAAAGAAATAGGTACATATATTCACATCAGTTCAAACAGATAAGGATTTCTCCAGAATGAACATAGCAAGCTATGTGGATGCAGCTGTTTAACTACAAAGAAAAGGAAAAGGGCCAGGGAGATAGCTTAGTATAATAAGTGCTTGCCTGGCAAGCACAAGGGCCTGAGTTTAGTCCCTGGTTCGAAAACGAAAACAAAAGAAAAAAAACCAAAAAACAAAAAACAAAGAAAAGTATTTTGTTTTAGAAGAGGTAGGTTCAGTTTCATGGAGAAGAAAATAACTACTTTATCTTTGCTTGTGTTAGGATGTTTTAGTTTGTTTTTGAAACTACATAGGATTTTCTTGTGGGTGACTAACTTAAACAGTATTCTTGTATTTAGTGTCTTAAAAAGTTGAGTGAATGTCCTGCTATTTGCACTTATACATGTCCACTCCTTAGGTACAATAGACATTTGATGTTGGTAAGGAGTAATTTTTAATAGCCTTTGAAAGCTTCTCGGGTGACTTCCTCTTGCAGGAACAATTTCATTCAGATACATACAAACAAATATGACAACAAATTTGATTTTGGAAGGTAAATCCAGATTTTCTTAATTGTTCAAATTTCCTTAAATTCAACCTTTTTACATTTCTGTTCTTTAGGTCTGCCAAAATGTCTGAAAGATCAGATCTCCTTCACTTCAAGTTTGAAAATTATGGAGATTCAATGTTACAAAAAATGAACAAATTAAGAGAAGAGAATAAATTTTGTGATGTTACAGTTCTCATAGATGATATTGAGGTACAGGGACATAAAATTGTGTTTGCTGCAGGTTCCCCCTTCTTAAGAGACCAGTTTTTACTGAATGATTCCAGAGAGGTGAAAATTTCCATATTACAGAGTTCTGAAGTGGGGAGACAATTGCTCTTATCCTGTTATAGTGGTGTGCTGGAATTCCCTGAAATGGAACTGGTTAATTACTTGACTGCTGCAAGTTTTCTTCAGATGAGCCACATTGTAGAACGATGCACACAGGCCCTGTGGAAATTTATAAAGCCAAAACAGCCAATGGATAGTAAAGAGGGATGTGAACCGCAGAGTGCTTCTCCCCAGTCAAAAGAACAGCAGGGAGATGCCAGAGGCTCCCCAAAGCAGGACTCACCTTGTATTCATCCATCTGAAGACAGTATGGATATGGAGGACAGTGATATTCAGATTGTTAAGGTAGAATCTATTGGGGATGTATCAGAGGTTAGAAGTAAAAAAGATCAGAACCAGTTTATTTCTTCTGAACCCACTGCTTTACATTCATCAGAACCCCAGCACTCTCTGATAAATTCAACTGTGGAAAACAGAGTAAGTGAAATAGAGCAAACCCACCTCCACAATTATGCTCTCTCTTATACAGGGAGTGATAACATCATCATGACCTCAAAAGATGTCTTTGGGCCTAATATTCGAGGTGTAGACAAAGGCCTACAGTGGCATCACCAATGCCCAAAGTGTACCAGGGTGTTCCGTCACCTGGAGAACTACGCCAACCATTTAAAAATGCACAAACTCTTTATGTGTCTACTCTGCGGCAAGACTTTTACTCAGAAAGGCAACCTTCATCGACACATGCGTGTGCATGCCGGAATTAAACCTTTCCAGTGTAAAATCTGTGGGAAAACCTTTTCTCAGAAGTGTTCCTTACAGGATCATCTTAATCTTCACAGTGGAGATAAGCCCCATAAGTGTAACTATTGTGACATGGTGTTTGCACATAAGCCAGTTTTGAGGAAACACCTTAAACAGCTGCATGGCAAAAACAGCTTTGATAATGCCAATGAGAGAAATGTACAAGACCTCACAGTGGATTATGATTCTTTTGCATGTACAACAGTCACAGACTCTAAAGGGTGTCAGCCACAGCCTGATGGAACACAGGTCCTGGATGCAGGTAAACTGGCCCAAGCTGTCCTCAACTTAAGGAGTGATAGTACTTGTGTGAATTGAGTAGAGGCTTAATCACTAGAACTGTAAGAGTGGCAATATTTGAGTGTTTTTTTGTTTTTTTTTTTTTTTTAAGGATTGATCTTGCTAGTTTTCTCCAAAACCTCCAATGTAGGTGGTAGGGGGTAAGTTAAAGCACTAATAGACCAGGCAACTTACCACATGGAGTGGTTTTGCCTTCCTTTCGCCCTCTCCCATAAGTAACTCTGTTTAGAGTTATTTATCTTGTGATACCTGGTTTCTTTCCCAAGGAATAATTTCATTCGTCTACCTAATGTTGACCTATGTCTTAGACTGACACTGTTTTAGGCATTCTCTAGGCACATTCTGAAAGTACCAAAAGTTAATAACATTACCTACTCTCCACTAATAGATGCTGTGCTAAAAGAAGTGAAGAGTAATTTTCTTTGGCAAAAAATAGGCTAAGATAAAAGATGATACTGCTGTTGACCTAAATATGTGATAAAACCCTCTGGTTGCCTATTGATAATTCATCCATGTCTGATAAATGAACAAATCTGCTTCCTATCCTTTGTACTTGTCTTGGATCTGGCTCTAAAGAATTATTCTGGTTTATTCTGTATCCTTTTCAACACTATCATAGCCCAACTTCATCTCATTGAATTGCTCATATAGACGAGAGTACTGTCTTTCTAGAAACATCCTCAGACAAATAGAGATCACCATGGGGGGCATAATTAACGAAAGACAAAAGAACAATTACAAAAGAACACATAAGTGAGTTTTCCAGGTAGCACATCTCAGTCTTAATGTGAGGCCAGATGCTTAATGTAATACTTAACGGATGCTTTTGAAATCAGGATTACTTCTGGCGCACTTTGTAGTGCTAAAGAATAATGATCTCTAGAAAAGTGCTGTTTGAGAATTTCTGAACTTTGTATCAGAGTTTAACCATCAGAAAGGTGAATTTAGCCATCAAAAAGTTGACCATTATAAATATACCTTAGTTTCAAATATAGATGAGAAAAGTTAAATGGGACACTAAGAGCAACCAAATTTTTTTTTTTTAATTCAGATACTTTCCTTAAAAATACACTGTCCCACTGTGCTACCTTAGACAGACTAATAGTACAGAGTTGGCCTTCCAGTGTGGAAGAGCAGAACTATTTCCTTAAGCACATTTCACATGTGAAATTTTTGAGTATTACTTGATCCTAACCCATGAGTTAGATTTAGGCAGTAGGAGTGTTAGAGTATAGTACTTAGAGAATCTTAAAAGACCATTTCTCCTCCTCCTCCTCCTCCTCCTCCTCCTTAAATTAAGATGAGACATCCAAAGCCCAAAGAAGTGGCCCGACCAACATTGGCTAAAGTAGATAAGTGACTAAATATAAACTAATATTAGTCTCTTTATTTCTTTTCACCACGCTTTGGTTTAAAAATATACATATTAGGGGCTGGGGATACAGGTAAACGGCATAAGCACCAGCCTGATAAGTACAAGGTCCTGAGTTTGAGCCCCAATACTGCCAAGAAAAAAAAAAACAATACATGTTGAAGAACAGTGCATTAGTAAAAATACCTCCAGTTTTATGTTTTACTTTTGTGTTTCCCTGCTGGCTTTCTGAGATGATCTGGAAATTGCCAGCAAATGTCACAAAGGGACATTAGTTATTTTTTAAAGTTTATTTTATTTTTACTGAACCCAGGGCCTCATGTATGCCAGGCATATATTCCTCTACTGCCTTATATTCCCCAGCCCCTGTCAGTCATTTTTTGTAGATGAGCATTATTACATTCTTCTCAAGCATGTACTTCATTTTTTGAATGTTAGGGAGGGAAAAGGCAAGTAAGAATCATGTGAAAAGGATCGAAATATGAATCACATTTTGTCTGGAAAGCTAGTTTGTTTGTTTTTTTTTTTTTTCTTTTTCTTTCTTTCTGAGGAACCGGGGATTGAACTCAGGCCCGTGCGCTTGTCAGGGAAGCACTTATTCTACTGAGCCATCTCCCCGGCCCCAGCTGTTTCATTTC